TTAAACATTATATAACTTATTTAATTAATCTAGCAATGTTATCGGCAAAAGAATTAAAAATTTTGCTTGATGTTCAAAGCCAGTATGTGGTGGATTATTATTCATTCTGGGTCGAAAATAGCAATCTGTTTATACAAATGGAATACTGTCATGATACATTAAAAGACATTTTAAATATACGCCATGATGCATTTAAAAGACAATATGGCGAATCAATGAGTATAATTGAATATTTTATATTCACCGAGGTATTTCGAGAATTACTTGAATGCGTTAATTATTTGCATTCATTTGAGATACCTATCATACACCGGGATCTTAAACCTGAAAATATACTCATATCAATGAATAACGTGAAGCAAAGTCGTTTTATAAAACTATGCGATTTTGGCCTAGCTACGTATGACTCGGGTGTACACACAATTGGCGTAGGTACACCTGGTTATACTCCAGATGAAGTTTATGTTGGCAATTATAATAAGAAATTGGATGTTTATAGTTTAAGCGTAATTGGCAAGGAGATATTTGAAATTAATTCAGCATTGTTAGTAGTTTTAAAACATGCTAAAATAAATAAAGTTTAATTTTAAATTTACTTTTAAGGTCAATAGATGAGCATAATTATCAAGTAGATGAATTCAAAAACCTGCATGCTATTATATTAAGCATGGAAAATTACTTACATAGTGATCGACCGGAGTGCCATGATATATTAATGAAAGCTAATAATTGGACTATTGACAATGAACGTGTTACAAATAATGAACATTTTACTACAAATATTCATTTATTGAGTGAATTTAAAAATAATTTTTTCATTAATTATCTAGAAACAAAGTTGGTCACCAAAATAATATCTAAATAAATAATGAATATTTTGATCACAAACAAATAAGTTGTGCTTAATAACATTTACTGGAAAAATAAATTTACAATTTAAACAATTATATTGGCTGAATTTAAATAAATTTTCTAAATTATAATTAAACAAAAAAATTCAATTTTATAATTCACAATTTAACGAATTATTACTTTAATTACAAATTTTATATAAATTTAGTGGGTATAATTGGCATGAATATTTAGCCAGAAACACAATTAAGATGTTGAATTTATTAAACCTGGCGAATTAAATAAATCAGCTTGTTAAATTTACGTTCAACCAATGTTGGCATCCTCATTTTTAAAGCCTTTAAGAAGTGGTAATTAATGCAATGGAAAATATAATGGCATTAAATTATGATAAATATCGACATCTATTTGAAGGTATAAGCAGAATATGACGCGTTGTGTGTGTTGTGCGGCGGGACTGTTGTCCAACCACTGCCTAACAGTGCTGAGGGCCATGTGAGCGGCCTTTTCATTGGGATATTCGTACAGTCCGGTAGAGATACAGGGAAAGGCTATAGACGTGAGTTCATTGTTGGCCATCACATCCAACGCAGTTTTATAGCACGACTGAAGGAGTGGCGGCCTTTCGCCTACCGGTCCCGCCGTATGGATCACATACTTTGCGGGCAATTTGTATCCGCCCGTGATTTTACTGCTTCCGGTGGGACAGCCATTCAATGCTCGGCACTCCGACTGAAGCAGATGCGGATCGGCGGCCGCGTGAATGGCGCCGTCGACTGCAAGAGTGAGACAAACAGACAACACGTTAACAACAAGTGATTATTGAAACTCTCAATAAAACATATTTTAATGGTTACCATAAATTTCGTGCCACTAAACTGTATCTCACGTGCTTTCACACTATTTTGTGGTCTTTAATACTTCATACTGTTTGACACCAACAGCGCACATGTTCTGTCAGTTTGCTGTCATCACTACCTCCACTCTAGTCAACAAACATGTCCGCAGTTTGGTCGTCATACAGTGTAAGGTATTACAGACCACACAATGGCGTGAAAGCATGTGAGACACAGTTTAGTGGCACGATATTTATGGTAACCATCAAAATCTGTTTTATTTGTTGAGAAAGAAAGAGAGATTGTTTTACAGACCCCCTCCGCCTCCTCGAAGGTATTCATTGGCTGAGTTGACAATGGCGTCCACTTCCAGAGCAGTGATGTCGCCAACAAAGATCGACACCTTATCGTTGATTATATAGTTGTAGGGAAAGGCAGACGTCACGAACCGGTTGTGAATAATGCCGTTGTGTTGGGAGTATAGGTTCCACGACGGGATGTTCGCCAACGTCTTGTATCCATTGCCACACTTGTATAGACTTCTCTTGTTCTCCAAAGACATCAGTCTGTAATGACTTTTGGCTGACACCACAGGTATAGGCAATAAAGTATCCTGTTCAATGTTTGGTTCTAAGCAGGTTAACCTGGTGGCACTAGGTTCAAAGTTTAAGCCGGTTTCTAGAGATGTTTGAAGCATATATGGTTTATGTTGACAATTTTTGACATGATTCGCTAAATGATCCAGTTGAATAATTTGGGTGCACCCATTTTCTTTATAGTCGCAATGAATCTTAAGTTTGCCAAGGATATTTTTTAAAACCCTAAAGACAAACGTTAATTATTTATATATTTTTTATATTAAAACTTTGATATCTCATTGGAAATAATTTCTAATAAATGTGTGTAAGCTGCATTCAGGAAAAGTGTCTATATCAGACTCCTCAAAGTTTGACTCCAAGTTCGTCAAACTCTCAAACATTTTTAATATCCTTCAAATGTTTGGCTCACAAATATGGTACACATTAGTGTGAGTGAGAGTTTTCAAATATTAACTGCAAGTTAAAAACTGTAATTTTTAAATAAAACATTTATTTTAGTATTTTTATGTATAAAATAATGACTAACTGATAGAAATATATATGATTAGTTTCTATCAGTTAACTTCGTGAATATTTTTGAAACTATTATTCTCTAATAAAAATCAATATAGAAATGTCTAGAAATTTTACATTTACAGGTTACTTTAAATATGTAAAAATAGTAATGATATTTGTTTGTAAAGTACTTAATCTACTAATAATCTATATTAGTGAATCTCAATTAGTCATTTCAATGTAGAAAATAAGGAATCGATAAATCCAATATGTTTTGACAATATTCCAGGAATATAGGAAATTCCGCGGAAAGTTAAAATATGGTATAATTAATAAATATAAAACATAAAAATATAATTAGAAAGAGTAAAAAAGAGCTATATTTAAATATCT